TGAACAAATCTTCTAAGGTGGTTTCGTTCATTTACTGTCTTGTAGTAACAACGATATGTGGGTGTTTCGGTGTGTGGAATTGCGTATTTCAAGTTTGCCACCAAATTGTCTTTTTCATTTCCCAAAGCAATTTGTGGATTTGAAGTAAAAGTTTCACATGTTGAAAATTGAAATTAATGTGAAGTTGCAGCAAAAGTGGCTTAAGAATACTCACGGGCTTTACTTTTGGCAAATGTACTTGTACCTTCCTCAGTAGACGTTCAAGAATTGCAGCTCCGACAAAAGAAAACGACAACAGCAGTGGCAGCAGCAGCGGCAACGTAAGTTGCTGTTGATTTGTTAGCGCTTCGGATTATTTAATTTCTTTTGTAGTTTAGAATAAAGTTAGATTCAGTATTTCAGTTGCTTTAGCAAACAGATGTGTAACTTTGCTCAATGCAAAGTATAGAAAAGTTTTTATCTGTTTGAATAGATCTACGAGCATTTCTGGTAGTGAACTATTGAAGAAGGTTAAAGTTTGGTTGAATTCTTGATATGTTATGAAGTTATCGCAGATTTAAATGTGATTATCCATATTTGTTTTTCTTGTGAATTTTGTGATTACGTTGAAAGCAATTTCGATTGAATATTCAATTAAATTCTTCTTTACCCCAAAAAACAGAACTTTTGTTAATACCCGAACTGCAATGTTCTCCAGAGATGCACTTAGAGCATGCAGTGCTGTAAATTAATATTTTTAAATGCAAAATCAGCAGAACTAACTTCAATGACTACTTATGTTAGAAGACCACCCAGACTATGCAGTTGTATTTTGAAGACGTGCTTTCAATTAGAATTAAAACTCATTCATTACCTTTAGCGAAGTCTTTCTCGAAAAATAACGCCTACACCCAAGTATGTTTTCCTTTTTTTGGAAAAATATGTAAGTGTAAATAAAATTGTGTTTTTTTATACAATAAATATTCGTGACAATATTAAAATTAAACAAAATTTAAATTAAATTAAAATTAAATATTTGTTTATGTACTTCGACTGCATTGAATTACGATATTGAAGAATTAATATAAAGAAGGTTATTAAGAAGTATTAAGTAATAAACTGTATATTAATATACCTCTAAATCTATCTATTAGATCTAAATCTATTTCAAAGCAAAAGTATGCGGTCATATTATTATTTAAGTTTTGTGACGTAATGGGATAGTGACTCCCATCTGTAGTTATATGGACAATAGTGATCTTATTATGGCTTTAAGTGATCCTGTCAATATAATAACAATGTAAACTGTCTAAATTAAAGAAAAACTTGAAAAATTGAACTAATTAGATGAGAAAATGCAAAATTAAAATAAACTATTTTATGAGCTGTTAGATTTCTGATAATAATATTATGACGTATTTTTGAATGCTATATGTAAAATTTAACAACAAATACTTAAATTTTATTTCTGATCATTTCTAAATTGATTTCTTCTATTTATATTCATTATAAATCAAATATAAAAGTCCATTTATAAAATGATAAATTTGATGTAAAAATATAAAGAACTCAAGTTACTTAGTAAAAATATTGTGTTTGATTCGTGCTCATTAGGTTCTATATTGCTTTTTTTTTTCTTCATCTTCTAGAGTGTATGCAGTTGTTTCTATTCAGGAAATGAGTATCATTTCTTTATTAAAAAACGGGTAACATAGCAGTTGTTGACCTGAGAAATATCTGATTTCGCTGGTGTCGAATGGATAAAATATTGCTGTGATTATAAAAGGCAACAAATCTAATCAATTATGTTCTTAAGTTAAGTAAAAATTTTAAATGGTACTCTATTGCTTTCCCTTCTTGTTAGCCGTCCAAAATTAGTACAGCAAGTTTGATTTACTTAACTCGATTAAATTTGTTTATGCAAATTAATAACTTTTTAATAATTTTTTTTCGTTTCCAGAGATACGAAAGGCAAATAAAAAATGTACCTTTTTGGTGCGCTTCACACGGGTTTCCTCCTCTAGAAAGTCGCTGAAGTGTGAGTAATTATTTCGTAAGGACTCGTGCTGAGGACGCTTTCTTAAGTTATTTTTATTTGTTTTCCTTTGTATAGAACTGACATTTTATGCATATTAATTTATAATTTTTTTGTTATATTTTTGCTTCTTGCATGAAGTTACTCAATGATTTTTCCATAATATATGCAAGAAACTTGGTGACCATTACTCTAAGCCCTTAGCAAACAACCCTCCTCATAATTTGTGGTAAGTTCATTAAGTAATAAAATATCTTTTTTAATTTCTTTAGTACTCTGTATTTGCAGAAAAAAGTGATGAATTAATTTTGTTATGCATTTTTTTACAATATTAAAAAATTCAATACATACTATATTACACTACAGCCAGTAAAATTTGCTTTCTTTTTAATTTACCCAATTATTAGATTTATATTGAAACCAGAAACAATTCATCACTTAAACTAATCATAACTACCGTAAAGGATAGCCGTTAGTACTTCTTTTTTGATTATTGATATTTTTAATTCAATCTTAAAGTGGTTTTTTTATATGTGGGAACAGAAATCTGTTCACTAGCCACTCTTCCCATTCACTCTTAAACCAGTTTATAATTGAAATGAATTATTTTATTACAGCAATTTTAGAATATTTTCTCTTCAGTAAAATGTTTGTCTTCAAAATTTACTTAAATGTCTTGAATTTTTTTAAGTAAACTGTGTGGTCGTATTTGGATTTCACTGGCACTGAAGCGGAGCAAGAAGATCAGACGGATACAGTAGTCAGAGTGTAACCTATTACAATTGTTTCAAGTAGAAGATATGCTTTCATATTTTATATTACAGATACATGTTGAATATAAAGTAGATGGAAACCTGCTAAAAAAATTGTGGTCTGGTTAAAAAAAGCCATATATTGTCATTATACTTGCTTATAGAAGCAATCCCAGGGAAAAGGTTTGCAAATACTAAAGTATCGATTTCAAAAAATGTTCATTTAACAGACCAATTATCATTTCATGAAACAGATATAATTTTAGTTCATATATTGTATATAAAAAGGTCTTAACTTCAGAAAAACTAAACTACCGATTTTTAAGTGTAGCGCACCTGAAATGGTAATCAGTGTGAGTTTTTAAACGTGCGGAAAACTTGCTTTTTACTATACTTTTGTTAATTTTTACTTGTTAATTAAGCCACTGTTAATTTTCTATCAATTTGTGGTTAAAAAGTGGAATACGAAGGATTTTTCCGGTTTTGTGTTTCAGATACTTTTTATTAATTTTGCAGCATATTTTCGGGGCGAAAAACATGTTTTGAATAAGAAAATACAGGACGCTGCCTCAAAGTCCTTAGGGTAAGATAAAATTTTCAAAATTACTATAGCATTAATTCAAACTTAAGTTGTTTGCGGGTTGCAAAAGTTTAGCAATTAAAAGTTTGGAAATATGGAATTTGTCAACTAATTATAATTTATAAATATTGCTTATTTAATATTTTTAAAAAAAGTGAGTATATGACAATGTTTGAAATCTAAAGATCCTAAGTTCAAAGTTAAATTTGTTAAATTACTGATTGGTTCTCACTCTACTTAAGCAATCGAAGCTGTTGATATTGCTAGCAAATGAGGCATGCCACCAAGCATGTAATCAGAATCGGCGCACAACTGCGCATCGTGCTCACCCGGGAGACCTGACTGAAGGAACGCCAGTTGGGAAGAATGCGGTGCACTTCTAAGTAAGCCGCGCGTCTGCCTGGGCTCAAGTGTCATACAGGCACAATTGATGCATTATGTAAAATTGTAAGGCGAAGTATGACTGACAACTTGCGACGTTGCTTGTCTGATTTGACAAATATTCGTCTTTTTGGCTATTCGAATGTCCGTCTGTACTTTCGTTGTAAACAACGATATGATATGAACTTCTTCAAATGCTCGAAGAACGACGGCCGTATGGGAGCACGTCAAATTGTCAACAAGATGTTCTGTGCTGTTCTAATGACAAGTAAAATCTCAAGGCAGTAACATAGATCTCTGTACGTTTCCTAGAAGGTGACATGTGTAACAATTAGTTTTTTGTGTCATGTTCTTTCTTTGCAATAAAATAATTAGCTTGAAATTAAAAATATTATTTGCTTGTTTGCATGTAATAATCAGAGATAAGAAAAAAGTTGAAAGTGAGTCATAATTAAATTATTTTGTTTAATTTTAATTTATAATATTTGACTGGCAATTATTAATATTACTTGTTATTAATGCGGGGTTTTTTTGAAAATCACCTTAATGAAATACCTTATACTATACGTCGAGATGTGCATTTAAGCCATCTATTAAGTCGAACGCTCGTCTATATAAGAACTAAGATAGATTTTAAACACTTATCGGCATTCAGAAGATGGATCTTTTTATCTTCTTATTTAGTTGCACCATTGCTTGTATTAGTAAGAACCATATTTTAAGTTATGAGCTTGGTATGCAGTTACGCAGAATCCTTGAATTTAAATATAAGGCATATAATTATATAGTTCCATATAATTTTATACAAGTTTTTACTAGAACAAAACTTAATCATTTACGATAAACTGTGATTGAAATTTTTTAATTATTCACGATTCTTGGTATAGTTAGCATTTTTATTTTTGAATTACCGCTTCAAGTCCGATAAATGTCTTATCGTTATTTAATTGTGTTTACTAATCTTAAGCCAGGATGAGATATATGTGGCTTTATCAATACGGGCACTCAAACTCTTACTTACTCAATGCACATTAGTCTCAAATCACCCAAAGAAGTAAGTCTTATCAGTTCATTTAAAATTTATGTGAACCTGCATGAATATTCCTAAACATTTGCTGAGTATTTATAGCATCTCATTTTGCTTATCAGAAGAATTCGAGGCACTTATCAGTGCATGACCGAAAGAGGTTAACATGCTGATTTGACGACACTATACAGCGCAGACAGTACATCAAATAAATTGAGTAGGAATTCTGTCAATATTTTATAATAGAATATTGACTGCTGTGTTAATTTAGTAAGTCAAGTGTTTTTAAGCGAGCAGTACACGCGAAAAGACCTGCGGTAATTTCGACAATAAAATATGCATTCTTCTAAGATTGTACTCTTAAAGTGCCTGGTGCTTTTGACAGTGCTCATATTTGGCTTAGCTGAAGTAGTCGACTATAAGCTATGTCCCGGTTCCGATCACGAAGAGTGCATTATAAATGAGGTGCGCATCAATCCCTGTCCACAGGCCGCTCAGCATATAGCGTGCAAATTGCGACGCGGTAAGCCCTCAAATATGTCATTCGATTACACGCCAAAGTTTGATTCCGATTCCTTCGAGGGTTCCTTGACCTGGGTTAAGAGCGAAACAGAGGAACCTCCACTATTAGGATTTGATAGGGAGGCCTGCAAGTACACAACATGTCCTATACGTAAAGATCAACCGAACAATTATGAAATAATTGTGCCCATACAGAATAAGTTTCCTATGGGATCCTATACTATTCGATGGAATCTGAAGGCACCAAGCGGAAAGAGTTGCTGTTTTACTACTGACATCAAATTGGTGCGTTGATGAGTACTAAAAAAGTTGTGAAAAACAAAATTTTAAATAAAAATTGTTATTGCGTTGCAGAGGGAAAACAATAAAATAAAATAAAAATGAAATAAATGTTTTTAATTTAAAATTGTTTAATCACAGCTATATGCAAATTTTCAGTAAACAGGTCAAACCTCAATAGTCCCCTACGGCGTATTCATTCTGTTCCAGAGCTTGGCAGTTTAACTACTTTAAATTTCTTTTAAATGCGAAGTTGTTAAAACCGCAAGAAATCTATAAAAATCCTTACGAAATTGCCTTTTTAATGAATTTACCACAAAAACTGCCAGCAGCACAACCTGCTTTCTGACGCTCGGCGGTAATTTTGCTGCTAATAACACTTCGCTATAACATCAACTTCCGAGCAGATTGTCAAGGTTCAGCGAGTAAACTTCAACGGACCAATGGTCTAGCGGCGGAATCGCATTGTTTATTCAATTTTTCATTTATTTTTTTACAGAAAATAAACATTAAGAATTCAACATCATTCCGAGAATATAAAAATTGATGTTTTGTTTTTTTAGAAAAACTCTACAATTTCTATTTGTTGACATGTAGCTCATCTTTCATTATACCCCTCATCGCTATCAGAAACAATGGCAAGCAATTAAAATTCGAGTATCTCGAGATTGGGCCACGAAATCGCTTCATTTTTCTGAGTTTTTTCGGCATTCATTTACTTTTTTAGTAATAAAAAGTGATTTACTTTTTGGAATTTTATTCAACAAAATTTATAAAACAATATCAACAAATATTAAATATTTACATTACTTTTATTTATACAAAATTTTTAAATTTATTTCAAAAAGTTTCAGGTCTTCATAATATTTTTGAGTAGGAACAGGAACAACTGATTCTCGGAAAAGTTGATTTTCATCCAAAATTAGTTTCTGGAGTACGTCAAAATGCGTTCTGAAGTTACTTGTGAGTAGAGACTACTCAACATTTCACGACCGAAATGTTGAGTATTTTGGAGATATGAGAATAAGAATTTTTTATCTAAAATTTTATAGTGACAGCGGTGTTTTAAAGGAGCCTTATTCATGTCGAACCTTAAATTTAAAAAGACTTACTCTATAAATCGAGTGCCAGGATGTAAAATTTCTCTTTTTGATGAATTTTTATCCTTTATACTGTTTCAATTTTTTAATAACTCTTTCGCGATTTTTCATGATTTTCATATTACAAATAAATCACATGACATCAAACATTTTAATTACATTACATAAAGTGAAACATCTACCACAGATTCTTCCTTCCTCGCCCCAGAACATTAAAAATGTCACACTTTTTGTCGAAAATTATGTTGCAGAACGTCAAAAGAAAAAAGTTTTTAATTAAAGTCTTCCTCAGCTTTTGTGCCACAAAAGAAGCGATGCCATGCAAATTACATTTCATCATTTTTAATTTGTTTTTGTCGCAAAATTTTTTGCAGTAAACTGAATCCTATTCCTTTTTAATGTGAAAAACACACAAAATGGTCGGTGGTGCTAAGAAAAAACACTTAATAAAAAAATAAATAAAATGAAACCGCATTCACTTCGACTGCGGTTCTGTGTGCAGAAGGAAGCAGCGAACCATTTTCTTATCAGCGAAAAACGTCAACGGTTTTTGTGGCGTTCAACAGCCTTATTCATTCATTGCAATGGTTCCACTCAGTCTTTGCTGAGATCAACATACTTGGCAAACAAATTCTCCATTCATTTTTGGTGGACATGTTGTGCCGTCAACATCAACGTCAACGTCGCCGTAGCAGGGTTCAACAAGTACGTCCATCGCAACTGTGTCCAAAGTACTTGCGTTTTAGTTCTTGTTGATTAAATGCGTTGATTGAGTTATGGATGCTCCTCGAATGAGATGCTCTTAATAAGCGTAAAACCAAACGAAATTCTTTACGTTTTACCGCTTTTGATATGCAGAGCGTATCTTTGCTTTGAGAAAAATAATTGTTGTTGATTGTTGTTGCGTCCGGCGGCTTTAAACTAAGCCACACAGTGCAGTAATTATGATCAATAATATTGACGATAAAACAATGATTACCTACTATAGTCAGTATTATTTAATTATTATTTGTTTTCGATTTTTTGAAAGCAACTAAGCTAAGCATCTCCATCGCAATTATATTTTAAGGATAATATTTCCATATTGTTCTTACGTATTTAGGTTAAAAAAATAATAAATAAAATATTAAGATGATGTAAGTATGGTTATTGTCGAGAGATACTCAAGTATAGACAAGCCTGTCTAAGTAGGGTTTCTAATATTATGATTATTTATATATTTAGTTTCACCATTTGGAAATGACAATAAAAGAATGCTGACTTTAACAATAAATGTTAGTTTGTTTTTAATATATTACTATTATTAACATAACGAAGGAAATGAAAGGAAGAAATTTTTTAATTCTTTGTCAATGAAAAAGTAATATATAACAATGAGAATTACTAATTACTTTAATACTTAATTAGAGTCTGAAGCATTTTTCTTATTCTACTAACAGATATACGACATTTCATATTTAAAGTACAAAAAATGTTATGTAAAAGTTCCAAAACTAAACTAACTAAAACTAAGAAAATTCGAAAAGTAGGTCTTTGCTCAATGAGAGAACAAAGCTGAATATGTGGGTTATCTAATAGGTGACTTTGGTTTTCGTTACCATCTCAATAAGATGAGTATGCATAAGAAGATATACGCGGACTCTATTTGAAAATGAATGCAATGTCTACTCAAATTCCTTATAATAATTTGAAGAGTTGATAATTTTTTATTCGGTTAGAGTCGTTTGGGAGGACATGAGATCTAATTAGTCGCAAAGTTCTACGCCGTTTAGAGACAGTCCACTGTATATTTCTAATTCTGTATAGAAGTTATTTCTTTTCTTTTTTCCTATAAAAGTTGATGCCCTATTGTATATGGTAATTTTATTAGATATAATAGTCAATAATTAATCTGATCTTGTGGTATGATAGTTCAACAGCTAAATATAGACCTGCTCAAACTTTTGTATACAATTTTAAGTCATCATTATCGTCATTTACTTTGAAAAAATAATATATTTGCACTCCAATGAATTTTTGCTATTAAAAAGGTGTAGATCGTAAGAAGACTACTTAAATGCTTACCCTGATAGGCTTTATTTATACAAAAAAAAAAATAAAAAATTATTATATTGTATACCTTCGCATCTCTGACTTTTGACTTAAACCTGCAAGAATTTAATCAGCGGATATTAAGTGTACTGCAGTAATCACAAAACATTATTACTCTACAAAATTCAAAAAAAAAAAAAAAATGAAAATAAAAATATTTTAAAAAGTGCAACAAATATGAACAACGTAAATACTGAAAATACGAAAAGTGAATGCAGATAAAAAGTTTCGTCGCTTTACGAGATTCTCAAAGTGAATTTTGTTTGCAGCGATAGCGCGGCAGTTTGAGTTTTGCTGTTCGTGGATGTTGTTTTTTAAGTGAGTTGATAAGGCTGAGCTGAGCGTACTGCAGTTACACAGCTAAAATACCCAACACAACAACACAAAGAAGAGCGATAGTTCTGATGACGCTGCTTGGGACGACATTTCTTCGGAGGTTAATCAACAGTACCAGAACCGTCGCAGTTCCAAAGGCAGGACAGCCGGGCGGAGACTTCATTTAGCACGATTGGTGGTGTTCTATACTTACAATAGTAATTATCGTACTGAGTATATCTCTGCAGCCTAGTACCGCTGGTGTATAGACGCACAAAATCAAAGCAAATGAAAAAGTTTTGATATTTAAAATTGCAGGAAATGCAAAAGATGAATGGGCGCTGCGCACAATCAGATTGTCCGTCCGTTCATCCGTCCGTTTAACACGAAACTGCAAGTATCTAAACTGAAAAAGAAACGCGCACAGACTGAATACAAAGGAAACTGATAAAAACCTAATTAAAACATGATTTTCTGCTGCTTTGTCACAAAAAACAAAAAAAAATTATCAAAAAAACTGACCACCTCAAACAAAAATTCATAGAATGAATAACAAATTTTGAGCATTTATGGAATGAAATCATAATTAGGACTCAAATTTAAAATTCTTCATTAACGATATGTACCAGCAATATATAAATGCACCGAGATGATGATCAAAACCTACATTATACTGAAAATAGTTGCGTCTTAGTGTATAGATGAATTTTATCTATATAAAAAACTGATAGGAGTTATGATATATAGTACTTTAACGATTATTTGTTTCTGAAAGAACTCGGAAAAATAAAAAAAAATATCATATACTATATGAATGCTTCAGTAAATCACTCTATAGATTAAGAATGGTTATACTGGTGATCCTAAAGATCTACATAGGCCTATTGACTTGTATCAGTCGCTTAAACCAACTTGAACCTTTAGCAAATCCTAAAATCCTCTTTAAATATCATTCCTAGAGCTTGGCAAGTCCCTCAAAAAGGTAAGAAGGTAAAAGGTAAAAAGGCGACACAGTAATAAAGAGAATGCGAGGCATTCTCATCGTCCTTCTCACAAATACGACAGAACTGATTTAGCGGGAGATTCAATCATCTCGTATGGCCCTATATGGCTGTGACCTGTCAACAAACCTAACACAGTACTAATAGCTTTATAGGACATCTCAGAGATTGGTATATTTATTTTTAAATAATCGGGACTAACTTGCATACATATGGCTGCAGATTGTTGAGTCTTTCCATCTTGTATTAAACTTGTTAACACAGGTAGATTTAAACAATTGTTTGCATGATGTCACAATTTGCCCAGATATTTTAGATGTTTGAAGTGATTACCTGTATTATACCGTCTGGTCATACAGTATAATATACTGTCCATAATAGCAGTTTTTCCGGTAGACAATAAAGGGCAGATGTGTTTAGTTTATGATTTGCCATTTTATATGTATAACAACTACGTAATGTTTAACAATACCTCAGAATTACTACAGAAATGGTAATGATTGATTATCATATGCTAAATGCATTTGATGCAAAAGTAAAGATATGGGCATAGAAGTTATGTGTTCTAAAGCTGGAAATACCATAAACTAC